ATAAGAGGGATAACATGGAGATCTTTGAGGGAGTCTGTCCCAACTGTTCAAAAATTTTGTAATCACTTTTTCGGATAATTTTTAATACCTCCTCCAACTCTTACCTGGAGGTATCTTCAGCTATAACTTCTTTAGGTGCCTCCGTCCGGGCAGGCTCCGTCATTTTCTCTTTGCCCCGAGTCTCAATAATTGACTCGATAGTGGTAACACGAACAGGCGTGGCGATAGTCTTTAGAGAGATTTCCAGAGAGAAAACCCTTTTACTTCTAGTAACTTTACTGGTCCCAACAATATTGTCAATTTTGGGATCTGTAACTTCAGTATCTTCATTATCAATAGTCAAGGGCTCTTGCTTGACACCATGATAGTAGACATTGGCTCCATAGTTCCAAGGGATAGCTTTGTCCGAGGAATATGGAATATGTCCAAGTGCGGTGATTATTAGAGGAGCGACCCTAGGTTCAGCTTTAATCCTCACAGGGCCTTTGGCAGTGATTCTGGTAGAAATATTGAAAACTACACATACCTCTTCCAGCTCCAAGTCTTGAAACAAATTCTCCACAGAGGGAGTCCTCTCATTGGGTTGGGATGCACAGCAGTAACATCTTTCAATACAACCCAGAAATAAACCAGCTTGCAACAGATTCTTCTTAATGATTAGGAGGGGAGTAGTTAAATCACTTACATTAAAAACATATGAAACATCATCAATAACACTAACTCCTTTGTCATGATTATGCATAGGTGCAGTAATTACATTGGGGGTCTCAGGAAGATCAAACTCAATCTCTTTATTGTCAATCATGTCCTAAATTTTATTATTCAAAGCCCAGAAGCTATTAGTGTCGTGTCCGGGACTATTGGAATGATAAGCACATCTTACATTAGAATTATACTCGGGGGAGGAAGTGTTCGGATTCTGAGGCGATCTCTTAACGTTATCAATTCTGCCTTTAATAGATGTTGTAATTCCTGAGACAATGACATATTAATCTTAGTAAGTTGTCTCTTGGGTGCGTCTGACCTACACTGATTTCCTTGTTGATGTTGTTGTACTAGCGCTAGATTAGAAATTAGCACATCCCCTATAGATTGGTTGCAGTCATTTCTAGCACGACCCTTCTGGCTATACACATCATTTGTTTACTTCTTACCGTTATACGTCTTCTTTACAGTACTTAAAGGCGCAACCACTTGAATCTTTCCACTTCTAATTCCACTTTCAACATGTTCCCCAGTTTTCAGCTTGGTGAAACCATATGAAGAGCTTCTGATCAGATGATTAAAGAAAGGTCCTGACAAAGTTCCCATTAACATATCAACCAGCTCCCTATCAGACAAAGGAGGTTGAACTCTTCCAGCTAAATCTCTCCACTTATGGGCATACTCTTTGAAGCCTTCGTTCGAGCCCATAGCCATACTTTGTAATTGCACACGAGTTAGTGCAAGGTCAGTATTGTATTGATATTGCTTGTAAAAAGCAGCAGTCATGTCTTCCCAAGTACGTATATTGGTTCCTTCCAGCTGATAGAATCATTCCAGTTGTGTCCCAGACAAGCTCTCTTGAAAAAAGTGTACCCATAACTTCCTATCATCAGTATGAGGATAGATCTTTCGAATATAAGACCTTAAATGCAGTTTAGGATATGAAACACCGTCATATTTCGCAAAAGTAGGGACCTCTAATTTATGAGGTATAACAACCCCCGAGACCAATCCAAAATCCTCAAAATCCAACCCAGGCACTCTCTGGATTTCCATAGCGTTGAGACGATTTTCCAACAATTTGTATCTGTCATCGGCAGGAGGATACTATTCGGCAGAAAAGTCTTCTTCATCAGAATATAAGCCAGAACCAAGGTTTTTATTTTCCTCAGCTTTCACACTCATGTCATCTTCCTCTTGGTTATCATCTTCATTTGATGGGACATCAAAATCTAGATCCCTCTTGACTGGTTCTTTGAATTTTATACCCATATTAAGAAAGACAGCTGGCTTCTTAGTCTTCTTCTTTCTCTCTTTGATAATGATTGCTTTCAAGTCTTCCAGCCCTTTGGCTAAGTTCATGAACATTTGCTAAAATTGAGTGTTCTGAGCTTGAAGTTCTTTCACGGTTTGTTCGAGAGCCATCTTTTACTGAAATAAATAGTAAGAAGATGAAAAAACATGTCTTTGGAAAATACCTGTTATGATGATGTGTATGATATGTAGATGCAATGTTTTCAAGGATCTCGCGGGATAAACAAAAATGAAATGTTAGAAGTTGAGTCTGGCTGCAGCTTTGACTGAAGAACTTTGCGTCTTTTAATGTTCTTCCATGAGAATCAAGCTCACCATGTCGAGTGGGTCCTAGCCTTTGACTCAAAGGAACGCACTTCAGTCTTTGGTGGCATCTGGTTAGAGGAAAATAAATCTATTTGTCCCTTACTAGACGTCTGGTTTTTGATAAACCTGCATCACATGCCCTAGAGATCCTTGAAATGGTCAGTAAGAATGCTATGGTAATGATGTTATGATGTCATGATGTCATGTTTGATTAGATAGAAAACACAAACAAAGCATACAATAACCTTAGGTTTAAAGTCTTGCACGAGGTTCGTAGGTAAGTACTGTCGTACCCCAATTTTTAACCTAAGATCCCATTTTCATTTTGCATTTTATACAAAAGTCAAGGTCACGAGATACGGTCGGTTTTAACCTCTCACCTTTGAGCATTGACTATGCAGAGACTGCCAAGTGTTTTAAATATTTTTAACCTATGTATCACTAACTTCTAATTGCATACAAAGGTGTATGTTTGTGTTTTCTTTGTTTCATGTGTAGAGACAGGTTTGAGTCAAGAGCATCAGGTGTCACGCATCAATTAGGGTTTTGAGTCTCCCAAGCCATAAGCACGATTTATTGTGGATTCTCTAAGATTGATTCATCAAGGAACAACCTATAACCTCAGAGCATAGAGTCTCAAGCATCGTCCAATCTCATTTTGATCAAAGATGCCTTTTGGAACTTTAGAGGATCGTGTGTTTATTTCCACGCCTTGTTCGACAAGTGGTCTCAAGCTTCTACATAACTTCCTCAGAGCACAAACAAGATTTCATCATCACGGTTTCACATGTGCGTCAATGCGTATTGGAATGCAAGAAAAGACCAGGCTATGTGAGACGATTTAAAGCACTTCGATCAAAAGTCAACTTTTTGGAAGATCAAGTTCAAACGATCATAACTTCTTCACTATTTCGTATTTTTGAGTGGTTCTTTTTGTGTATGACTCTCCTTGACGTCATCTCCCACTTCTCTTTACAAGTCAAGAGTTGATTGTGTGCGGAGGATCCTCGAAAATTCGAATACTTTAGAGGTCATTTTGCAAATTTGACCTAATTACAAGAAACTCTTGTCTAATTTTCGAGGTTCATAACTTCTTCAATTCTCAACGTCCTGAGGCAATTATTTTTGCGCAGTATCACAAATAGCGTTGTCTATGAGATTACTTCAAAGATCGAGGTCAAATTGTGCTTGGTTCAATTTATGCCACATACATTTTCTCAAAGGACGTTTAGTTATTATGTTGGGATAATTCCTGAAACTAGAGTTCTAGTTCAATGATTCGTTGATTGCTTGTCACCTGCTTCAAGTCATTTGCAATTGAACATTAGCGATCATTGGATTAAGGTGGACTATTGATTAAATCTCTTAAAGGTGCGATTTGTATTACTGGATCATATTGCAAGTTACCACGAATTGACGATATGGGTTTTAAAGAAGAAGATTTGAGGAATAATTCAAATAATTCTTTTTGATTTCAAATTGATTCAAGTGTGTGAGGCGTAATTCATTCAAAACATTCGTCATTCCAAGTCCATTTTTTTTCAAGACCGTGAGATCGAATAATTCAAGACTTTTTCTTCTATGTCATAAGAATCAATGCAAAACTTGTTAAGTTTAAGAAAATCCATATTCATTCAAATGACACAAATTTTTGCAACTTCCATACATCATCATTTCAATTCATGACTTCATCCAAAGAATACTAGTTGTTTACATTATTGCCTTTAGAGTTACATCAATACCATGAATTTTCCCTTTTACACTTAATAGGAATTCCAAGAAAAAGTTACATATTTCTAAGCCTAAATTCGATATAATTCCAAGACCATCCTCCTTGTGTGCTTCATGCAGAATTTTCCATGCCTTATTAAGCCATGTACCAATGTTTGTCCTACTGTATAAAACCAAGCAAAACACTCCAAAACCTTACATCTACCTGCTACTATTTTGACCCTTGTTGTTGTCCATTTCTAATGCAAAAAAAAAACCTTTCTCCAGTAGTCCAAAATCTGCTATAAAACCTACACTAAAAACAGCCAAATATTACACTAAATCAGCAAAAACACAAAACTCCCAAAAAATCTATGAAGACAGTTTAACAATTGTGTTCAAATCCCATCCATTTTCCCCACCAATTTTCTCATATTCACTCACTATAAAAAGCACAAAAAACCAGTAGGAAGAAGGGGTTTTGGGGGGAGATTACACAGAAAAATTCCAAAAAAGATGGCTCTTTACACAAACCTTATTCCATTGTAGCGTTCTTCATTAACTCACTGCATCTTCCTCCAATCTTCAACAAACCTGCATTTTTTAGAATTAGGAACAAATAGAACACCATAGAAAACATCACCAATCAATGCTCAAACCTCTACTAAAATTACAAACCTAACCTCTCTATTTTCTTCAAACTTCATTAATTCATTACAGCAACATCATCCAATCCATACTTCACAATACCACCTTACATCTAAAATCTCACAGAAGAGAAACATTCAGACACAAAAAGTTCCTAGAGGCCAAAGAAAAATTCAAGATCAATAACAGACAGAAACAGAAGAACAAGGAAGGAAGAGAAATTCACCTGAAAGGTTCAACTCTGAGACACTTACAACAACAACAACTTCTCTCGGGTGAGAGCATCTTCTCCTTAGATTAGACCCACACCTTCAGAAATGGACGATCATTATCTTGCGGAGTATCAGAAGCTTGGACCCTTTATCAAAGTTCTTCCCAACTCCAGTTGTCTCTTGAATCAAGAAATTCTCAGAGTTTCTGGAATGTTGTCCAATCAAGGTTTTGGTGACTTAGACAGACTACGGGACAGAAGCTCTAGTCCTATGGCTTCTTCAAACCTAAAATCCAATGTCACTGCCACATGGATGACTGGATGGGATGGTTTTCGGCAAGAGAGATTATGTGGAGCTCCTGGAATGACCATGGACTGGAAAGGTGCACCTGCAAGTCCTAACTCATACAATATAAAAAGGATTTTGCGTTTGGAAATTCCTGTTGATACATACCCTAATTTAAATTTTGTTGGAAGACTTTTGGGACCTAGATGAAATTCTCTGAAATGAGTAGAAGCTACTACAGGTTGCAGGGTGTTTATTAGAGGACATGGATCAATAAAGGATTCAGGCAAGAAATAGAGGAAGAAAAATTAAGAGAAAGAAATTCATAAGAAGTTAGGGGAAGAAAAAGGAAGAAGATAGAAGTTGTAAGTGCTGTCTAAATATCAAGACTTCTCCCAAGTAATTCTTCATCTCAACAACCTAAAATCCCAACAACAATTTCCAGATTCAGAGCAAAGTATAGCAGAGGAAGAGAAGATTAATTTTGAAGCTTAACATTGTATAACAGAATCGCATATAAGGAATCGTGTATAAAAGATCCATGAATCAAAAGTTATTCAAGGTTGAAGTGATGCTTCCATCCATTTTTGAAAATTGACACAAAGAAATTTTTAATTTGGTTAATGGTCTGACTTGATGGACAAATTTCATAGTGATACAATTTGATTTACAATACAACCTCAACATCAAATTTATATAAAATTGTTTCTTCTTTCTATTTGATCATAAACTCTCTCCATTTGGTGCCTTATTGAGCGAGATATCATCATGAGAAGGTGATCAGTGGTTTTTCCACCTTTATTTACAGTGATTTTAGTTATCGTTTCTTTATTTTGTCATTTTTTATTTCATTCTTCTATGTTTTACGCGTTGGTTGTGTATTTTGTTATTTTCAGGCTCAGAGGTATAAACCCAAGAAAATTAGTGTGAGAAGTGTAAATTCGGAGTTTTGGAGGAAGTCTCAAAAACCAACCTACAGGGTGCCTAAAACGGCCACCCGTGTCATAAGAGAATTCAAAGCTGCAATTTGGAAGAAGATGATGTGGCTGAGGCGGGTGTCCGTGTCACATGACACGGCCCGTGTCAGCTGACACGGCCCGTGTAAGGAGATATGGGCAAGATGTGTTTTGTGAAGCGATGGACAGAGGCCGACACGGGTTCCCGTGTCAAGTGACACGGCCTGTGTTGGCCAGGACGTTTATTTTGAGTGTTTAAATGATTTTTTAAAAATGATTTGAGACCCAGAGAGCGTGTTTTTATTCTGATTTTATGATGGGATGTGTTTTATTTGACCTAGTTTATAACTTAGGGTTTGGTTATTGATTTTTCTAATTGCTTCTTAATCCAAATTTTTGCACATACTTAGGCACATAAATATAGGTTGTTTGAGTGATCATTTGATGCCTTGGTGATGTATTTTGGCTCATGTTTGAATTTTCATTTGATGTTTAATTTGAATGATCAATGTTGGTGATTTTGTTGATGCTTCAAACTTTGTCTTGAGCCTTTTCTTGTACACTCTTTATAAACATTTAAGGACACTTTAAAGTACTGACTTCATGATGCTATGAAAAAAATTTCACTCATTTTTGAAGTCTTCTAAACATTCCTTTTATTTGATGCAATGCTTGCCTATATGATTTGACGCTTGTGTTCTTTGGGAGATGTTTAGATGTGCACTTGTGCAACCATTTAGGGATTGTGGTTTCCTATCATGTTTGCTTGATATAACATGTGGTAAAGCCTTTTTCCCTATTTTTATAGGTCATTCCATGCCTCTTTGAATGTTTATATATTTGTATGAAACTTCTTATGTATTTTTGCCTATCTTGGTGCCTCTCATTGAGCTTATCCTATGCCATTATTCCTTGATGGTTGAGTGACTTATGTGATGTATATTAAATTTAATTTTATTATGACTTGTGTGGTTTTATACCTCTCTTCCATGTTCCCTCTTCTCCGTTACTTGACATGATGTTAATGTTCCATTAGGAGGATGTTTAGAGTTTGCTTTGCTCATCTTTTGTCTAAATATTTGAGTATGATTTGTTAGGATTCTTTTGTGATACTTATAGATATTTCATGTGTGATAATAACATGTCCAAGCTTATGAGTTATCATATCTTTTCCCTAATTCTATGCTTTATGTTTATCTTTCCTTGTTAGGAATAGTTAACCTCTCTTGTTAACTTTGATTAATGATTTTGTGCTTTAATGATCATTCCTTGTGCTCAATTATTTGTCGAACTTCTTTGTGCCTTTGATACATATAATAATTTAATATCCTGTCCATACTTGTCTTTCACCATGTCCCTATCTCTTTTGCATTGCTTGTTAGCACTTCTTGACTAGAGGACTAGTTTCCACTTTGGGATGTTTGTGATCATGTGCTTATAAGATTTTGTTGTGCTTCTTTATTAAGCATGGATTTATGATGATAATAAGTTCTTTATGCCTTAGTTTCTAACTTGTATTTCCATTCATCTCTTTCACTTTACTTCACCTTCTTATACCATGATTGGTTAGGCAATTGACACATAGAGCTTTACATTCTAGTGTGATTGTTTGTTTGCTTTCTCTTGTGTTCCTAATGTCCACACCTCTTGTGAATTACCCCTAGGGATTTTTTGACATGTCATGATGTTTATTTTTATGTTAAGTTGCTTCCCTATAAGTATTTGATACATGCTAATCACTCTAGCTAGTGTTTGCAACTTGTTTGAGTTTTGTTTCTTCTTACCACACATAGGTGGTTTATTTAGATGATGTTTGATAACATGATACCTTTTGTGATATGTTGAGATATCTTAAAGAATGTTTATACTTAGGTATTTACCTCTTGTATCCTTTTGGTTTATGCTTTATTCAAAGTAGCATGGTTTAAGTGTTCACTTCCTTTGTGTGTTTACCTCCTCTATTTGCCTAGTTAGGTTGTTTTCTCTTTTTCTTGACCCTTGATGTTTTGTTTAGGGTAAAGTTAGACCTATAAAATTTTAGGGGAAGTAGATTTGAGGGTTTTTTGTGTATTCTCTTGACATGTCTAACTGGTTGATGAATCCATATGTGTTTGCTTGTTCTCAAATCTTGATTAAGTGTTTGATGCTTGCTTTCTTCTTTTTGCTTCTTTCTTGTGATATAACATGTTCCCTGTAGGATTTCTTTGGTTCATTCTTATTCAAGATTTGAATTAAAGTAGACCTTAGGTTTTAAACCATGCATAATAACATTAGGTAGTTACCTTAATCCTCACCCATAGGTCCATCTTTGTATGCTAACATTAGGTAGTCCTCCCTTTGTTATCTTAACTCTAGGTCCACCATTACATAACAACATTAGGACTTGAGTTCCCATTATATTTTTATTTCCCCTTTTGCATGCTTAAAATAAAAAATTATTATTTTTAATTGAAATTCCAAAAACACTTAATAATAAAGAGGCAAACCATGTGTCACGAGCCTTAAGCACATGTGGAGCACTCTGGATACGAGAAGTCTGACTCGACTATACAAAGTCTCTCATGTCATAGTCTTTAATATGGTTCAAATCACTAAACTCTTTTTAAGGTAACAAAAAGAATTCACCAATCAAATCTCTTTTTCCTTTGGGATTTTATTTTGAAAATCTTTTCATAAAAAGGATGTGTTATTTCCATTCTGCGCAATACGACGTATGAGTCTTCAAGGGTCGGGCAACAATATGTCAACTGCTAGAATATGAATGTAACAATATCTACCTAAACAACACAAACAAACCAACATTTTTGAGAATAACTACAGTGCTCTGATTCTCTATTGCACGACGGGGATACGTAGGCACGAGGTTTCAAAACCAAGGCAAACACAATGATAAAAAAACTTTTCTTTTTGTGTATATACTTTGCATTCATGCATTTTCCCTTGGCTTGTAAGCTTTAGATTTAAACACACCATTTGATTAGAACAACAAGAGTGGACCCAGTTGAGTACATCGAACATGAGGGATTCTAATACCTTTCTCTTGCGTAATTGACTCCCTTACCCGCTCTCTTGGTTGCAAGATCTATATTTATCCCTTCTCAGGTTTTCTTTGATATTTTCCATTCCCTTATGTGGGATAAATAAATATTAGATGGTGACTTCATTATTCATTATTTTCTCTAGTTGCTTGAGCTGGCGAACTCACTGGCTAAACCTAAGTGAGTCAGTCTTAACTCTTGTTTGTTGTGTCTTTGGATGTTTATTTATTTTCAGATTTTTAGCTTGTTCTTTTATATTTATGATCATTTTTATATATGTTTGTATGCATTGCATCTAGATATTGGTTGTGTTATATTCGAAATTTGTTGTGCTATTCCTTTTCTTTGGTGGGCGGGATATACTTTTTGAGGTAAAAGACCCACTACCCATGCTAGTGTTCACTCAAGTTTAGAGTGGATAGTCATGTCAACTATCATGATGTCTGAAACGTAAGAGTTGGCATGACATACCGCAACCAGGCGAGGTTTCTCTTGGGATATCGTTGTCCTGCATATCTATGTACTAGACAAGGTGTTTTCAAAGAGGAGTGTAGACTCTGATGACCATTAGGAATCCCTATTATGTTCATGGTTAGAACCTACATGTGAGATGAGTGGGATTTACAAGAAAACATGCCTTCAACCTACCTGGTATTTTTAGAATCAGAAACAGTGTCGAACCTTTGCTCTTGTTACATTCAGAAACAACGCAACAAATATTCAATCTGATGGAACTTTGATCCCACACATTTGCATAATAACATTGTAAACCTTCATTTTAACATGAATGTTCTTTTATTTCCAGGTATTCTTTCACTTTATTTTAGTTATCAAAGTTATATCCAAAGATTGGCATTGTTAAGAAGGATAACATCACCTACAAGTTCCATGACCCCGTTCTGAAATCTTTGGGTTCCTTAGCAGAGAAGTATCCCAAAGAAAGTAAAGATTCATTCAAGGAAGAGTACGGTAAGATTCCGAGTTTGGTGTATTCTCCTCTCACTGAGTATCAGAAGGGTGTTGTTCAAACTATACTTCAGTTCTATGATCCCACTTTGAGATGTTTTTTATTCATTGATTATCTGTGGGCTCCAACCTTGGAGGAGTACTCAATGATTCTGGGCGTCCCTATCTTAGATCATATTCCTTTTCATGTCTCAATGGAGAAACCCCAGTCACCTCTAATAGCAATTGATCTTTATTTGAGAAAAAGTGT